TCTCATCTTTTCCCTGCACTGGGCAACTCTACTCTGAGTTACCCATCATGTATTAGGGTAGAGTTCTATCAAAGGCAGGGACCTTTTTGGAACTTTGCTTATGAACTCAAACCATAATAGATCTGTGGATAGAAGTACTGGAACAATCTATAACAGGAGTGAGATGAACAGGACAAGCCTTTTTGTGGGATGGGGAAGACTCAAAAGCAGTAGGACATATGGAAAAAAATAATGGATTTGGTGCCAACAGACTTGGTTTCTAATACTAACACTTTGTGTTGCCCTGAATAAGCCCTTTCCCTTTTGTGTATTTCAGTTTTCTCATTATTAAAATAAGACAATTTGAGCTGGATGATCTTTAAAACTCCCTTCCAGCTCTAACTTGCCAGGACTTTATAGGCATTGTCCCTCTCAATACCTGCCCCTAACTAATACCACCAGCACTGCCACTGCCACCCTTAATGCTAACACAGCTACCACCTCAATCTATCTGCTAATTTACATTTTACAGAGCATTATTACACCAATATTCACAGTTAATAATTATTAAAAATATATATTGTGAATAATCATGTCAGGGGATATTATCCTCATTCTACAGATGAGGAAACTGGGGCTCAAAGAAGTGATCTCATTCACCTGAAGATGCAAAATTAGCAAGTGACAGGGACAGGAGCATGGAATTTAAGCTTTTGGCATCAAGATGACTGCTCTTTCCCTAGTGCCGACTCTACAAACCTCCACCCTCTCAATAAAACCCAGAAAACCAAACCCATTGCTGTTGAATCAATTTCGACTCATAGCAACCCTATAGGACACAGTAGAACTGCCCCATAGGGTTTCCAAGGAGCAGCTGGTGGATTTGAACTGCCAACCTTTTGGTTAGCAGCCGAGCTCTTAACCACTGTGCCACCAGAGCTCTGTATTAACACCACTAAGCGAGCATGTTTATCGACTTTACCTCTCCTATTTTCTTTGAAGATAGGGACAACTGTGGGATTGTCATCTTGAGGAGAAGGAGAAATAAAATAGGGAAAGGGAGCTTATAACGAAACTTCCCACTCTCCAGGGGACAGCCTTTATAGGCCATTGGGAATTTTGCTTTGCCTTATCTTACCTTTATCTTTTTTAACCTCTAAAGTCTCACGTGAATTGCCCCTGCCAGTATGAATCCTATAAGCCTGGTGTCCTTTATTCAATCTCTCACAACTAGAGCTAAAGAAGAGCCGCTGGGATTGAAAACTGTTATTTCCTGAATTAACTAAAATCAACTCCAGATAACACTGCTTGACATCAGAAATGCAGAGATTTGGTTATATTCTACAAGTTTAGACATTTTTTCTGTAAATGAGAGAAAGTAAAAATTATATATCTTTAAAATGAATTAAAGAAATTAGTTCATCCATGAACTAGCATATTAGAGTTTGAATTTGAACTTCCGTGTGTTAATCTTAGTTGAATTTTTCATCATTTAGGAAGGAGGCATAATTAGATATCATTTTTTGCATTTGGTGCAGTAATTTGTTGGTGGAAAAAGTCAAAATCTTTGGGCAAACATGGGGTTATATCTTAACTCAGTTATTGGCTGTCTAACCTGAAACAGGAGCCCTGATGGTGCAGTGGTTAAGTGCTCGGCTGCTAACTGAAAGGTTGGCGATTCAAACCCACCAGCCACTCTGCAGGAGAAAGACGTGGCAGTCTTCTTCCATAAAAATTACAGCTTTGTAAACCCTATGGTGCATTTATACTCTGTCCTACAGGATCTCTATGAGTCGGAATTGATTCGATGGCAGTGGGTTTGGTTTTAGCCTGAAACAACTCACTTCATATCTCTGAGTTTCAGTTTCTTCATCTATAAAATAAGGATACTAGTGCCTGAAACATAGATTGTTGTGAAGATTAAATGGGAAAAGTGTGTGAAAGTACCTATTTTCATGTCTGGTACACAACAGACATTCAATAAATGTCAGTGAATTTCCCCTTTACATGTACACAGAGTGATCTCTGAGGACTTTGGTTAGATCCTGTACTTTTCTGGGTTTAGAAAATCCCTAAAGAGTATAGTTGTGAGCTGGATAGAAGGTCTAGAGCAGTAATCTTAAAGTTGGAGTGTGAAAAACATATGTTACTTAAAAAAACACTTACTCTTTATCATAATAAATTTATCTGGAGAGCAAAAGGTAATTATTATCCTTATAATACAAATGTCTGAGTGCACAGATCTATAAAATCTTCTTGGCTGTTGAGCACACAGTACTTGAAAAATCTCAGTGTGATGTGGTAGGTCTTTCTTGGGGTCCAGGGCCTGGTTCCTAGTGAGGCAAGTCCACAATAACCTTCTAGTGAGATTTTTATATTTCTCAAAGGGAACATTAGTTTTAAAAGATTAAGAAATAAAAATTGAGAGACATATCATAGTGGAAATCAGATTTCGGAAATTTTTCCCTTGGTTGTTGTCTGTGTTTTATCATTTGAGAAAAAGAAAAACAAAAAGGAAATTACTTACAAAACATTTGCCTGTGGCCTAAAAGTTAAAGTTCTTGTAATAACATAATCTGGAAGAAACATAATGGTCCTTTGCAAAGGTTACTGGATTACCCCGGAAACTTGGATTCTATTTCCAGAAAGTACCCTCTAACTAGATTTGCTTACTAATGGCACCATTATTCATGACTTAGTGATACGTAACATTTCTGAGGTATGTAGCAGCCTAAAGTCAAATCATTGTATTTCTAATAATGAAATTAGATATCATCTATTCCAAGCCCCCCCTTTTATAAAAGGTGAGAAGATCGAGACCCGGAGAAATAAAGTGACTTGCCCAATGCCACACAGGGAGTCACTGAGATAGAACACAGACTTCTTGACATCCTGTCTATTTTTCTGTCTACTTTATTACTCTGCTTTTGATGCATGTGAACTGATACTAGATGAAAATTTCCCTGTAAAATATCCTTATCTGGCGTATAAGCAGACCTTTAGGCCAATAGTGTTTAAATGAACCTTAATTCCTTGCCAGCCATACCTACTACACTGACTGATAGAACTCTTAGAAGGGGTGGTTCCAAAACAGACAGCCTCTATCCTCTTTGCTAAAAGGTCCCTGGGTGGTACAAAATGTTTGTGCTTGACTATTAATAGAAAGGTTGGCAGTTTGAACCCACGTAGCAGTGTCACAGAAGAAAGGCCTGGTGATCTGCTTCTATAAAGATTACAGCCAAGAAAACGCTTTGGAGCTCAGTTCTAGTCTATAACACACGCGATCACCATGAGTTGGAATTGACTTGACGGCAATGGGTAATCCTCTTTGCTAGAGCCATGACAGAGAACTGCCCTGCCTCTTAAGACCTCAAATGTCTTACTTCAAACACTACTGATCACTGAAGACCTCAAATGACTCACTTCAAACACTACTGATCACTGAAGACGCCCCAAATGACCCAGAAATATGCTCATTCATTTGGAATCCGATGATCCACCACTGCTAGGATATGAGCAGTCTGTACAATTTGAACTCAACAACTTTCCCAGTTGAGCTCAAAACAGAACTCCCTTTGACCAAAGAAGGAACCATGTTAAACAGGGACATTGCAAAGACAATCACCCCAAATTAATGACTCAATTCTAAGTATACTTCAGGTCTTTTTCTGCTACAACGTACTTGCATGTCACCTACTTTCAGCAGTGAATAATTTTACTGTGTCACAATTGCTGAGGAATAAACTTCCAATTAGTAAAACAGGCAATAACTCTCTGCATTCATTTGAACAACCAAAAAAACATTTTTACTTGCAGGATCCTTGGAACTGAGGCTACTTCCCCTCCCAAAGCACAACAAAACCTGTTATCATTCTATCCATACTGATCCTGATGCCAACTGGCTTGGCACAGTACACCTTCAGGGACTCCCCAACTAGCAGTCTCTTTTTCACTCATTCATCTTGGCTCCGAACAAGAGAGATGTAAGCACTCAGACTAATAAGAGCAATAATCACTGAAAAGATAGGTGTCATTTTTGCTGTTATTGTTGACTCTGCTGTCTAGTGGGGATGATTTGGATCAAAAAGTAGCTTTCAAAGGATCAAAAAACTCTTCTGAGCAGACTCTGAAATAATTTCAATAGAGCTTGTCATCCAAGATATTTTCTCCTTTTCTAAACTAAAAACCGGCCAGGACATAAATACATTTATACTATTCTCTGGGAGATGCAGACTGCTATAGGGGAAAGGATGCTTTAGTCAGTAGACACAGGCTCCCAAACTGGATGATGTGATCCTAAGTGTCTTCCCTGCACTGGCTCTCAGTTTCCCCATCTGTATTGTAAGGGATTTGTATCTTTTAAGAGCCCTTTCAGCTCCAAAAATCTATGCTCTGGCTTTCATTCTGTTTCTCCTGGAAGAACTTAACATCTGTCTCTGTATCACTGAAAACTAAACTCTTCAAAGCAAGGAGCTGATACATAAAAACATTTGTTTATTATACGGCTAGATGAACTACACACAGCAGAAATTGAGTGTAAAATATCATTTTTCTTTTCCAGGTAACCAAGATAAAGCACAAACATTTTCATGTTTCCTTTTCTCCTCCACAAACACAAAGTTTAATCTACCTGAAATGTGTAAAAAAAAAAATCCTCTTTTTCTAACCGAATATACCAAGTTGTCCCAATGAGTCTCATTGAGGACACTCTTTTCTAAACACTTTGTGTTATCTTCCCTGGTCCCACCCTACAAAGAACCCCCAGAAAAGAGGGAGCTGTATCACAGACTCCATACTACTGGTCTAATGGTGGGGACTGATGGCATTAACCTTAAGTTTGGATCTGGTCAGACTCAAGGGAAATTATATTTGCCCCTGTTGTAAAAAGTCTGAGATGAGAAACAAGAGACCATTTTCATTTCAGACACCAACCCCACAACAGCCGATATCTTGGATCTTCATGTCCCCACCAATCCTCCCACATGGAACCACCAATTCCCAGGTGCTAAACTGTAACTTACCTTGGAATTCAGCCAGGATTAGCACTCTTGTTCTTTTGCAGGGAGCTAGGGGTAAAAACGCCTAACTCTGGGTGGCAAGGATCCTGCTGATAACTGACAAATTTGTTGTTGAAAGAGGAAGTTGAGTACGTTCAGTGTCTCACCACAGAAACTTGACTTCGACAGAAAAGAAGGTAAGTCCCTTGAGCAGATGACGCCACCTTAGTGTTATTTCTTTTTTCTTTTTTTTAGTTTATTTCATTGGTGCAGAGAAATTCAAAGGGCAGGCTATGCGCATACTCAGTGACTGCATACTAACTTTCTTCACTGCTCCCTACCCTTTCTCCTTCGACTATAGGCCACATGCCTGTCTGTCTCACTAGATTCCAGTAGGCTCCGTGGCAAGATGGATTTTCAAGTAAAATCTGATGAGAGTTTACCTCTGAACAAGAAAGCTGCAGCTTCTTCAAGACCTAAGGGCAAAGGTTAAGAAATCTCAAGAATACAAGTCAGAAATAAAAGCAGTAGGACTACCTTTACTTAAGCTCTTCCCTCCATCTGGAGTGCCCGTTCCTCAACCTCCTCACCTCAAGATTCACAATTTAATGTGTACTTTGGTTATTTTTGTACATTTTTTATCCCCTACTACAGTGTAAATTGAGGGCAAAAATAATGTCTGACTCATCTCTGTATTCTCAAATAGTTCAACACAAGGCATTTTCATAAACGTTTGTTGAATGAATATGTGAGGAAATGAATGAATAAATGAATGTTTAAAGAATACTTGAATAAATAAATGAACAATGTTGTTTACACAGTCTCCCGCCAGTATTCTAGGATTCTGATCTTTATGTACAATGTCTATGGGGTCTTCACAAGTCTGAAAATAAAGGAGGATAATACATTTAGAGACTGTAGTCTCAACCAAACCAGATAATACTTCTGAGAGAGAAGGCTTACAAAGCAGCACAAACCTTTGTGGCACATAAGAGAACTGCACTCAGAACCCAGAGCTTAAAGCTACAAAGAATCTTCTGAGTAATAAGCATAGGAAAGGAGAAAAAGAAATTACTGTGGGTTAGGTTAAAGGGTAAAATTTGGACTCATGGATGTTGTCGTGTGCCACAGAGTCGATTCCAACTCATAGCAACCCTATAGGACAGAGTAGAACTGCCCCATAGGGTTTCTTAGGCTGTAATCTTTGTAGGAGCAGATCACCAGGTCTTTTCTCCCTGGAACCACTGGTGGGTTCAAACTGCCAACCTTTCAGTTAGTACCCTAGTGCTTAACCATTAGGCCACAGGGCTCCTTAACTAATGTATAAGACTGATTAAAGAAGGAAATGGATAATATTCTTATAAGAGGGCAACCTGAATCTGCACCACACTGTCCATATAAAACTAGTAGCATTAGAGAACTAGAAGGAACCATGTGCAACACTCAGACATCTTCAATATAAATTTCAAGGGCATCACAAGATGGAAAAGAAAAGATTTCTGCATTGGAAACTAAGATTTTGGGCTGATTGATGGGAAGGCTTGTGAGGACTGGCAAAAGGAGAGGGTACCCATCCGGCTGATGTATATCAAATGAAACAAGCTGGACCTTGCAGTTCCCTTCCTCATTCTGATTTCATATATTTATTCAGCTCCAATCTGTTGTTAATTTAGTTACCTGACTTGGCTTCCCTACTGAAAAGAAAATACACTGACAGGTAACCACACATTTCAGTCCATTTGAGTTATGCTCCTCGCTATAAATTATTAAATTGTCTTTCTGGTACAAATCTGTCCCTTGTGAATTTCGGCAGTGACAGCCAGTTTTCCTAGGGTCTGATCTTTCTCTGGTCAAAGAAAATTCCAGACCTCTTGAGCTTAGAAGCCAAACCCTGTGACACAGAGAAAAGGAAACCTTTCCTGACAATTAGCTCTAGTCACCACCCCCACCTTCACTTTTCACAGAAAACACATTAACATTACTAGGAGGAAGCCAGCTTACCTCATTTCTCTCTTGCATGCAAGTATCTTCTCCTCTCATTGGCCCTAAAAAAGGAAACAAAAGAAGCTTAGAAGTCAGTGTCCCAGTTCACGAAAAAGAAAAATTCAACTCAAGTAAAGTTTTGATTGCTGATTAGAAGGTGCAAAGTTGTGGACAAATCAAAAAAGTTGATTAATTAACAATCTCCAATTAACTTTTGGAAGAGAGTTCTCTAGTTATTTGATATGATTGATGGTCTAGAAATCATTATCGCCTCAAACCAAGTATTATATATTCAGTCATAAGTGTTTAAAAAGTAGTGAAGCTGTTCCTTCCTGCTCATAATTCTAAAATATCTTCTTTTCCAGATGTGCACCCTCAAAGTTTACTTTAATTGATGGTCCATATCTTCCTTAGGCTGAAGAAAGTTTATGATTTGGTGCTTCAAAGGATTTTAGGTCTTTTCTGACAGTAGCGGGAGATAGGGAGTGATGGCTATTGTTCACTACAATGAACTTCATTTTCTAAGAGAACCAAAGAGCCTTATCTTATCTTATTATCAGTAAGAGCTAGACTTTTCCCAAGCAACCGCTTTGATTAGAGTCTTATGGACACTGATATTATATAATTGATCATATGTCTTTTTTTACATAGTCTACCAAAAAACCTGAAGGTGATTTTATAGTCTAATGATAACAAGTAAAGGGTCAATGAAAAAGTCGAAGACCCTCAACAAGATGGATTGACAAAGTGGCTGCAACAATGGGCTTAAGCATAACAGTGATTATGAAAATGGCTCAGGACCGGGTAGTGTTTCGTTCTGTTGTACATAGGGTAGCTATGAATCAGAACTGACTCGACAGCACCTAACAACAACAACATCTATGATAACAAGTGTAGATTTTTTTTATGGTGTGCATTTTTTTATTGGCCTCATTCATGGCTCAGTATTTATGTCCTTGCTCTTATTTTCTTCATTACTTTCCACCTACTTTTAGAGTTGCCCATATCCGATTATATGTCCTCAGACTATTCCAGTGCTTTTGTTTTGGAATTAATCATTCAATAAGTAATTAATGAGCTACAACAACGATTAATTTTGTTGAATGCTCAATGGGCAGGATTGTATTCAGAAGCATAAAATATGTTCCCTATCCTCCAGAGGAAACCCTGGTGGTGTAGTGGTTAAGTGCTATGGCTGCTAACCAAAAGGCTGGCAGTTTGAATTCACTAGGTGCTCCTTGGAAACTCTATGGGGCAATTCTACTCTGTACTATAGGGTCTCTATGAGTTGGAATTGACTCGATGGCAATGGGTATGAGTATCTTCCAGAAGATACTGACAAGAGGATAACTCATAAAAGAATTAGAAAACATGGCATAGTATATGATTTAGTATTAAATTATGTCAACGTTAAAAAGAAGATGAGATCACTATGGGCTGGACATGTTTGAGAAGGTTGACTAATCCTTGCTCAGCGGGTAAGTTTTAGTTTCAGCAGTGTTTGGCAATGTGTGGAACATATCCCAGTGGAGGCATGCAAGGTTATTTTAAGTGGTATAAGGAATAACTAAAAAAATGTTTAAAGTTACACATTTATTTTGATGCTTTAAAATGTAATAAAATTTGTACTTGATTTTATGGATTATATTACTTAGGATGAGGCTAAAGTAGGTAATTAAGTTTTAAAAATTGTGATTATTTAAACAAGCACACACAGAATAAAGTTTGGAGGGTAATCAGACATAGAAAATTGTGGAGGAAAACTTGAGTGTTTGAATTTTGGCAAATATCAGGTTTTATAAACGAATTTTGTCTCCCAAAACTATATGTTGAAGTCTTAATGACCAAGACCTGTGAACATGACCTTGTTTGGAAATAGAGTCTTTGAAGATACTGTCGGTTAGGTTAACATGAGATCATACTGGAGTAGGGTGTGTCCTAATCCTATATGACTGGGGTCCTTACAAAACAGAAGAGACACAGAGACAAGGAAGACAGAGTAAATACTGTCATGTGAATATGTATCTACAAACCAAGGAATACCAAGGATTGCCAGGAGCCACCAGATGTCAGGTGAGGCATAGAACAGTTTCTTCCTCAGAGCCCTCAGAAGGAATCAACACAGCTGATACAGTGGTTTACACTTCTAGCATCCAGAACTATGAGACAATAAATTTATGTTCTTAGAAGCTACCCAATTTATGGTATTTTGTTAGGACAGCCCTAGGAAACTAATACACCAGCTTAGGGAGAGGAGACATGGCAAGGAATTCCAGGAGAGAGAAGGATATGCCAAGGACATGAATAGAGAATAAACATGTACTGTTTGTGTGATACTGAGGATAAAAGGCTTGACTGAAGAATAGGGTTTATGTTAGAAAACTGTGGTAAAGAATGTTGAAGACTAGAACCATACAAAGATGGTCTTGAGTATAGAAGCCATAGGATACAGGAAGCCACTGAAGGGCTTTAAACAGAGCTGAAGGAGGTAGATGAAAACTATTTATTGAGTACATTCTATGTACCAGTCATCACTCTAGGTAATTTATACACGTCATCTCATTTAATGCTCTGAAGAATCCTATGACATGTTGTTGACGTTGCTAGTTGCTGTCAAGTCAGTTCTGACTTATGGCGATCCCAGTGTGATAGAGGCTAACATTACCCTCATCTCACCCATGAATGAACTGAAGCACAGAGAGGTTAATTAATTTCCCTAAGACCATACAATAAGTAAGTGAGAGAAGCAAGATTCAGACTCAAGCCCATCTAGCTCCAGAGCCATACTTCTTTCTACCACTCCCTGAAAGATCACACAATGATAGACAAGATAGATTGGAGAGGGTGAAACAGGAGATAGAGAGCCCTATTAGGAGGATATACCAGTAATTTAAAGTTAAGGTAATAAAGGCATTAATTAGGGCAATGACAGTAAGAATAAAGATAGAGAATAATTTCAAAAGAAATACATTTTGCAAAAGAGCACTTAAAACAGTAATTAATGAAAGAAAAGAGGAAATTAGTCTTCATAAGTATGAATAAATCAGTCTTTGAAGGGGTTTAATTTTTGCATATTTCTAATTAAAATTTTTTTGAGTCATACACTGAAGTATCTTTCTTAAGTGAGAAAAACATACTTTGTAGCTACAAGAGGTGTTAAATTTCCTGAGTTCCAAAAGCTTGTTGTGGAGACAGGCATCAATCAGCACATGGCA